GGGGGGGGAGCGCTATATGAGTAATCACGTTGTCTTGTGTCCCCGCCCCCTTTATATTTGCATACATAATCTTCCAGGGTGGTTCTGGGAAATCAGCTCTGTGATCACGGCGCTCGTATGATCTGATTGATTTGCTTTGTAGGCCGGCCGATATCGGTCGTTGTGGATGTGTCCGTGATAAAGAACACAATGATAACGATCTGTAACACAATACAGAATAGTCGCTATAACTCGCAGATTCTGTTACTCGGCGACCCATATATAGACGTGTGGCGGGACGATTCCGTGGCGCGGAAGGGAAGCTCAATGCCGAGGTCACGTGCTGAGTGCCCGCCCCCCTACCATGGGCGGCGTCGCTCCATAAATCCTCTGGGAAGGTCTGAGACTGGAGCCGCTGATCTCCCTCACAGGGGGTCACCTGAATTCCGGGTGAGTGAGTCCCCAGCAACCCCACGCTGGAGTGGACCGGTCCGCCATGTGGGCGTGGCTCCGCAGGAGACGCTGGGCGGGGTCAGGCAATGGTGGGTGGACCGCGGATTAGAGGTCTTTCCCGCCTTCCTGCCTCTGTCTCCTCAGCTGATGCGGCCACGCCCCCGGACCTTGGAAGAGGCTCACGGCTGGCTGAGTGAGTCCGATGGCTGAGGTGAGGCGACTGCGCCACATAACCCAAGTCAGACTACTCTCCCTCCGCCCTCTTTTACTGACCGCGCCACATAACCCAAGTCAGACTACTCTCCCTCCGCCCTCTTTTACTGACCGCGCCACATAACCCAAGTCAGACTACTCTCCCTCCGCCCTCTTTTACTGACCGCGCCACATAACCCAAGTCAGACTACTCTCCCTCCGCCCTCTTTTACTGACCGCGCCACATAACCCAAGTCAGACTACTCTCCCTCCGCCCTCTTTTACTGACCGCGCCACATAACCCAAGTCAGACTACTCTCCCTCCGCCCTCTTTTACTGACCGCGCCACATAACCCAAGTCAGACTACTCTCCCTCCGCCCTCTTTTACTGACCGCGCCACATAACCCAAGTCAGACTACTCTCCCTCCGCCCTCTTTTACTGACCGCGCCACATAACCCAAGTCAGACTACTCTCCCTCCGCCCTCTTTTACTGACCGCGCCACATAACCCAAGTCAGACTACTCTCCCTCCGCCCTCTTTTACTGACCGCGCCACATAACCCAAGTCAGACTACTCTCCCTCCGCCCTCTTTTACTGACCGCGCCACATAACCCAAGTCAGACTACTCTCCCTCCGCCCTCTTTTACTGACCGCGCCACATAACCCAAGTCAGACTACTCTCCCTCCGCCCTCTTTTACTGACCGCGCCGCATAACCCAAGTCAGACTACTCTCCCTCCGCCCTCTTTTACTGACCGCGCCGCATAACCCAAGTCAGACTACTCTCCCTCCGCCCTCTTTTACTGACCGCGCCGCATAACCCAAGTCAGACTACTCTCCCTCCGCCCTCTTTTACTGACCGCGCCGCATAACCCAAGTCAGACTACTCTCCCTCCGCCCTCTTTTACTGACCGCGCCGCATAACCCAAGTCAGACTACTCTCCCTCCGCCCTCTTTTACTGACCGCGCCGCATAACCCAAGTCAGACTACTCTCCCTCCGCCCTCTTTTACTGACCGCGCCGCATAACCCAAGTCAGACTACTCTCCCTCCGCCCTCTTTTACTGACCGCGCCGCATAACCCAAGTCAGACTACTCTCCCTCCGCCCTCTTTTACTGACCGCGCCGCATAACCCAAGTCAGACTACTCTCCCTCCGCCCTCTTTTACTGACCGCGCCACATAACCCAAGTCAGACTACTCTCCCCCCGCCCTCTTTTACTGACCGCGCCGCATAACCCAAGTCAGACTACTCTCCCTCCGCCCTCTTTTACTGACCGCGCCGCATAACCCAAGTCAGACTACTCTCCCCCCGCCCTCTTTTACTGACTGCGCCGCATAACCCAAGTCAGACTACTCTCCCCCTGCCCTCTTTTACTGACCGCGCCGAATAACCCAAGTCAGACTACTCTCCCTCCGCCCTCTTTTACTGACCGCGCCGCATAACCCAAGTCAGACTACTCTCCCCCCGCCCTCTTTTACTGACTGCGCCGCATAACCCAAGTCAGACTACTCTCCCCCTGCCCTCTTTTACTGACCGCGCCGAATAACCCAAGTCAGACTACTCTCCCTCCGCCCTCTTTTACTGACCGCGCCGCATAACCCAAGTCAGACTACTCTCCCCGCGCCCTCTTTTACTGCGGCGTCTGAACCCAAATGTACATACAGTTGTGTTCTTGTTAACAAGAGCTTCTCCGCTCCCTCGTGCAGCAGCTTTTTATGGCCCCTGTAGAAGATGTCTCTGTGCCGCACCCCCCCACACGCTCAGGGAGGTCAGACAGGAGGCTGAAGAGCTCTATGAGCTCCCCTCTCACAATGTCCGTGTCACAGCAGTGGTCCGTGACACGCAAAGACACGCAAAGACACGGGGAGGGGGGAGGAGTTGTGGAGAGATTCGAGTGTCATCAGATGGTATTGGAAGCCATGTGAGGTGATCAGCTGACCCATGGGGGGAGGTGTAGACGGAGAAGAGAAGGGGTCCAAGGACAGAACCTTGGGGGATCCCTACAGAAAGAGGAGGGGAGGAGTTAGATGTGTAGGTGGAGCTTAGCTAGATAGGAGGAGAACCATGAGAGAGTCTTGGAGGCCCGAGGCTAGCAGGTCATCCCGACCCCTGACCTGTAGTCCACTTCTTCTCCATGTCTGAGCGGTTTCCCAGTCTACTTTGAGGTCCACAGTCCCGCTGCCTGGTCTGGTCCGGTATGTTCCTGTGCTGGGGGCCGCCTGGTCTGGTCCGGTATGTTCCTGTGCTGGGGGCCCCCGCTGCCTGAGAACTTCCTCCTCGGCTCCATCTAGTGGTGGGAATGCCGTGTGATCGCTGGTCATACGAAGCAGAAGAAGATATTGTCTCCATTCTGTTCCGTAGAAGAAAATGATTCCTGGAAGACAATATACTGACCATGGGAAGTCCTGATTGTCCCCCAAAATCTGCCCCGCGTGTTCCATCGCTATGACAACTCATGAGAAAGACATTGTGGGATGTGATGAGGAAACCAACAAGCTGAGATCACGGTGAAGGTTCAGAAAGTTTATTTAGAAGAGAAGAGTTACAAAGTAAACATGAGAAAGTAGAGAGATGAAGACACGGAGATCCTTAGACATGGCGGGTGGACCAAGGATCTGACCTCTTCATCTGACCTCCAATCCTGGACAGTTGTCATGGAGGACTGAGTGCTGAGTAGAACATTTCCAGGACTTCTTATTATCTCCAAGCTCTGACCTCCTCTCTATACTGGGGGTAACACATCCCGACTCTGCCCCCCCCCCTCCCCCAACATCCACTTCCCAATAATGTCACCACTAAAAATGTTCCGCCTGAAGATGTCGTATGTCCCGCTTTCCTCCAGCAGGGGGCACTCCAAGTCAATGAAGCGCTGCCCGATCACTACTGCAGTTACTGGGGGTAACACATCCCGCCTCTGCCCCCCCCCCTCCCCCAACATCCACTTCCCCATAACGTCACCACTAAAAATGTTCCGCCTGAAGATGTCGTATGTCCCGCTTTCCTCCAGCAGGGGGCACTCCAAGTCAATGAAGCGCTGCCCGATCACTACTGCAGTGACATTCTCAGCCCCGTCGTGTAGTCTGATCTCTTCATTCGCAAGCTCCTCCCTCACCATGATGTCTTCCCTTGTAGGGAGATCAGACCACACTGCCAGAGGGACTCAACCAATAGTGACAGCCCCTCCCCCTCTCTCCTGGCAGAGGAAGCCGGACACAACCTGGAAGTCTTTAGTCAACTCTGACTTCCTTATAAAGAGAGCTCAGCCACGTATATGAGGTGTAGATCAAGGTCTGCTTCTTCCCGATGTCAGAGCTCAGATGCACCACAAAATAGGACTCGTAGGGAGGACATTTCCCGCCACCAGAACACAACTACATTTTGAGGGTTGCGTGGCATCTCTGGTGTTGGATAAGCCAAGACTTCTGTGAAAAACTTTTCCCGCACTCGCGGCAGGGAAACGGCTTCGCTCCCGCGTGAGACCTCTGATGTTTGTAAATATGCGATTTCTGGGAAAACTTTTCCCGCACTCCTGGCAGAAATACGGCCTCTCCCCCGTGTGAGATCTTTGATGTATAACGAGGCCCGAATTGCGCAAAAAAACCTTTTCCGCACTCGGGGCACAAATACGGCCGCTCCCCCGTGTGAAATCTTTGATGCATGACGAGGTCGGGTTTGCGGGAAAAAGATTTCTCGCACTCAAGGCAGGCGTAAGGTTTCTCCCCGATGTGAGATCTGTAATGCATCACCAGTTTATTTTTACGAAGAAAACGTTTCCCGCACTCCCGGACAGGAATGAAGATCCTCGCCCGTGTGAGATCTAGGATGGTCAGTGAGACTTAGCTCAGAGGTAAAACCTTCCCCGCTCTCGGGACAGGAAAACGTCTTCTCCCCCATGTGCAATTTCTGATGCCTGGAAAGCTTGCCCTTATCGGAAAAACCTCTTCCGCACTCCGGGCTGGAAAACGGCTTCTCCCCCGTGTGAGATCTTCTGTGCATCTCCAGTTTTGATTGATGAAGAAAGCTTTTCCCACACGCAGAACATGAATGAAGCTTCTCGCCCGTGTGAGATCTCCGATGTACAGTAAACCTTACTTCAGACTTAAAACCTTCCCCGCACTCAGGACAAGGAAATGTCTCCTCCCCCTGAATTCCGGCACCGTCCCCCGCAGGACGAGGTCGCTCAGAGTCAGAGGGATTCCATGCTCTATCCACACTGTGAGGTCCACCATCCATAGCGGAGCTCATTGTCTCTTCTCCCGCACAATCTGCTGTGATGTCCTCATCTTCCATCTTACAACCTGGAGATAAAGTCAGAGGATCCTTTGAGGGTTCCTCCATGGCGTGTCCTGGAAACATAGAAACACATGACGGAGAGATATGAGAGGGTTAGATGACTTCACTCAACATTCCATCTGGATCAGGAGGTCTGAGGGAGCGGATGTTCTATGAGGAGGTCCCAACCAGCCGGGACTCCTCCCCTCTTCACTCAACATTCCATCTGGATCAGGAGGTCTGAGGGAGCAGATGAGTCTATACCAGCCGGGACTCCTCCCCTCTTCAGTCAAAGGAGCTTTGCTCCTCCTCCCAGATCACTTCTACATCCAGGTCACCAATTGCCAGTCCCCTTTTTGAGGGCTCTATCCCCGGAAGACGGGCAACCCCCCCTGCCCCCGCCAGGAGGATGGAGAGGTGCCCGCTGATCCTTGAGGAGCTCGGTGCCATAGACACCAGAAGAAGAAACAGAGTGCAGCCCGAGGAATCTCCACAGGAGGGCCGGGACCCTGCACACTGTGGACGTGCGAGGTCAGGAGGCCCTAGCCATCATCCCGCCTAGGCCTCTGATAGGTGCCCCTCACTGACCCCCTGCACTCCTGACCCCCACACTATGTGCGTTACACACTCCTGAC